TTTCTCTTTCCTTGCTCTCCCTGTCTTGCTCACTCAATTCGTAAATTTCATTGATCTTTACTATGAGAGGAGACTCTTAACCATTTCCTTTTTATTTCATTGACAATTCACTTCCTCTAGGTCAGTAAAGGCGATCTGCTCCTACGATATGAGATTATGTTGAAGCATTTCCTAGCGAGAGGCTTTCTAGATATCCAGATCCATTCATCCAGATCCATACCAGTGCGAATTGAAAGTCACCGCTTTTCATCCTGGCCAATAGGCCTGTCTCCAACTATCCGACCACCCCCTTGCTTCTCAGGATTGCGCCGTTGGGCTCGCTTTTTCCCACCAACAAAGAGGCCTAAGTTATCAGTTATCACGTTACATTCGAAAACTCTAACCAAGCCGAATCCCACCATTTGCCTCTTAACGAGTACACGGGAGATAGGGAAATACCCATTCTTCATTCCTCGTCCACCAGGCCCCAGAACTAGATCTTGGCAACAGTATTCACCCCCTTGGAACAATGCGTCTTTCCGTCGTCCAGTAAGTTGAAAAGGGACGCCTAACTGGCTTGTGTCATTGACCAGTGATATGTCATTTCCAAGCGGAAAAGCCCCTACTGGATTGCAATTGGGGCCCGGTGGTTTAAAAATCGCAAGTTCAACGGCTCCGAGTCCTTGATTTGAGGATTGTTTCTAGAAAGGTTGAAGGAGCTTTCTTGTCACAGGTCTCTTATTATTGATACCTAGGTAGGTTTCGTCACATAGATACATTTGTTTTATTATTTCCTCATCTCTTCTTTTCTTTCTTTTGTTTTTGTATGGTTCGAATTCGTTAGCGGTCAGCAGTTGCCGAAGTTCTGGATGACCTTTGTCAACGTTTACAACAACTACCAGAAGGGCTTGATGTTAACACCAAGTTAACATTTCCCTCTATCCCTGCAATTAATGCATTCGATCTTCTTTTCTATGTTGCTGTAAGTGACGTTTATCAGCTGCTGAAATAATGATTGCTATTGAACTCTCTCCTCTCATCTCTTACCTAGGAATCCTTTCATTCATGCAACTTAACTCAATACATTTGCCAAAATCCACTCGTCTGCCGCTCATCTAACTACACAAGAAGATCAATTCCAACAAGTCCTTAATCCACTCGCTCTCATGAAGGACTACACCTATTCCAAAGACGAGAGAGGAATTAAGTATTTTCTGGGCGCATTTACTTTTTGTCGTGATTATATACGATGAATTTTGGTTATTACAACTGCCATCAGATAAAACAACCACGGCCAACAACAGAAAATAACACTGAAGGACACAATCCGCACGAAGAACAGGAAGAGGAACGAGAGGAAAACAGAACATGATTGAAACTGAGAAAGGAGTGAAAATTCCAAATATTGCAATGATGAACGCCTTTTCCGGCATGTACACGGTTTATCTCCCCGCAACATTCCAACATTACTTCTGTTGTGAGGAGATTTGCGTGCTTTTTTGGTTTCAATATTCGAAGAACAAGGCGATTGGCTATCAAAACTTTCAAATCTTGGATGTCGAGGCGTTTCTGCGAGGTTAATTTTAACGATCGTTTGATTAGCTGTTGGGTTCTTAGATAGTGATAGCCTCCCAACTCGGTTTCCGATTCCGTTTATTAAATATTTCAAAAGTATTTGAAAATTTGTTTGGTTTTTCTTATCTTCTCAACCTTCCTCGAAACGAGGGAAGCCTCTTCAACATATTTATTCCTTCAGCGACTGGGCAAACCTACATATGTTCACCGAGGAAGCCCAGCACAGTCTTGTATCCATTCTCATACTCCTTGCGAACCTCGGAATTCTCCAGATCTGATCTCGCCGCCATCCAACCGTGTATCTGCGTGCTCCACGTTTCAACATGGTGCGGGACCTTGAGGTTTTTCTCAAAAGCGCTGACTTCGTTAGCGTCTTCATCCTTAGACGCAAGCAACGCCATTGGGATGGTGACGTTGAGTGCATCTTTGGCATCCAGCATGGCCGGATGACATTGAACGGCAGCCTTAAAGGGTGTCTCCTTAATGGAGGCCAACGTGGTGATTTTACCGCCCCAGCAGTATCCAAGGATAGCCCAAGCTCTAAACATCCCTCCCTCGGTCAGCTTGTTAGCTTCTTCGAGGACGCCAGGGATGCGGGAGAGGGTGTTGGACGGGACAGCTTTGGTTTGAAAGAAGTCGTGTAGCTTCTTCTTGTGCTCGTTTGTGGTTGGTGGGTACCAGGCAATGTCGGCGGGGCTGCCGTCGAAGAAATCGGGCATGAACACGCGGTATTTGCGGTTGGGATCCGAGGTGGCCATTATGTCGGCACCCTGGATGGTTTGCGGGAAGAAGCCGAAAATGTCTAGTGGGGTTGGACATGTTAATCGGGGAAGAGGTCAAAGTGAGAAAGTATTTCATCTCGAGTTTCAAATACCGTAAATGACTAGGATGGCCTCGGTGGCATTTTCAGGCCCGGTGACATCTAGATGTTATCAGAATGCATGAAAATCAACCAAGAGGGGGAGAGTTTGGACCAGGTTCCGCGTAGGGAATAGACTTCACCGGATAGAGAACGCACAGGTTTTCATGCCATTGATCGTGTGATATTGACCTTTCCCTTCGTAGCCTTTCGAGATGACGGGTGGGATACTGCAAAGAGCCAACACGATCAGCCGGATTTCATATCAGGACCCAATGAAAATATACAGCAACGGCTTACCAGCAACAGGCTTTGCTATATTTCGACATGTCGGCGGTACGGCACGTATAGCGAGATCCTCTCAACGGACTAAAGTATTTCGGTGACGGTGATAGGGGTCTGAATGAGCAGCCTAGAGAAAATTTTAGAAATGTCTGAGGTCTCATTGAAAGATGAAGTATCTCAGTTTCCTTTCAATTCTCGGGATAAAAGATGCTATCTCGTTTGTCGGCGTTATCATCGTTCGGCACTTCATGTGTGCCGTGGTCGGAATTTGTTCCCGGCCAAGTCCAATGGGCGGGCAGCCACCTTGGCAACTTAGTTACGTCATAGCAACATGTTAAATTAAACTATTTTTCCTCCTTGAACCCCAAAACCGACCATCCCAGGGACACGCTGTTGAACTGTCATGATAGCGACACAGACGCACAGCAGAACATCCGTGCCTCCCGCCGCCATACTGCTATCTCTAGACCCTTCATTCAAATGTCAAATGCGCATCAATCAATGCGTAGTTACCCAACCTGAAATTTTCCCTGTTTAGAGTTTTATGAACTATCCAACCCGTCACAATGAAACGGCCTATCTATGCTACATATATGGCCTTACTCAAGAATCAACCACATGAAAATAAAGTTAGTCCCCGTAGATGCAGGGCTGTTATCATTAATGTTATGCGGTGCAGTCTGCGCGATCTTGAGCTTACACAGGTACATGAAGCATCCCACCATCACCCTTTATCACCCTTTTTTCGATTTACCGTCCATCTCTTGCCAACAGCATGTGGGTGTGTTTAAAATCGTGTCAAAACCGTGTCGTCACTTGGTGGCGTTACGGAGGAACAGTGAGGCGAGTTCTAAATTTGATATCAACCAGGAATACATGGTAAATATGCATTGCCATATTTAATACGTTTCTCGGAATCCAGCCCTCACGGTTGCGACAATCGAGCGGTTTCAAAAGGGGCTATTTGAAATGCGCAACCTCGGCAACACTTATTTAAACAAACCCAGAGCTGCCAGCGGCAAAACAGGCAAACTTATTGATCCAGTCCTCATTGCAAGCAGGGAGCATTGGTGAAGGATATTCCGTTTGGTAGCAGTGGAGCTGCTTTCCTTGAAGCTATATACCTAAGAGCAAGAATTAGCTTGTTATGAAAAGCTGGTTGTCAGGCTTGAGAAGAAAAAAAAAAAAAAAAAAAATCCGTGTACGACCGAAGGTTCTAATATACTTTCGTTTATGGAATCTGGAGAGAGGGTTGGACAGATTAAGTAGGAAATAGCCTGCTCGAACAAGGAGATGAAACGAAACGATGGTTAACGAATAGAGAAGAAATTATAAGCGGTTTTGTCCCTGTATTCCTTGAGAGGATGGGGGAGATGGATGTGGGTTAACACCAGCCAAGCTGTTGGGATATGTGTTCTTCTCCTCAACCTCATGGACTTTCAACCACTAGCAGATCAATTGGCGTTCAATCAGCACCACCAACACCACCAAAACCTACTGTTCTCGATATATTATTAATAGCCGGTGGATGGGATTTTGTATGTACTGTACAGTTTCATGATTGGCACCGGGTTGGATCGCAGTATCGCTTGTGGACTACCCTACCCTCCCAATAGCTTGACAACCCAGAGTGAAAAAGCTCTCCCAACTTGGTAAGATTTGTTTGCTTTCTCTCGTCTTATCCCGGAACTTTCCGGCTGACTCATGTTGGAAGGACTCACAGTTGATGCTTTATTATTTTGTCCTGAAATGTGGACATTTGCCTGAGCACGATAATTCTCGACGGGACATGTATCTTGCATGCTTCCGAAGTTTTCATCCCACCAACTTGGGCCCTAAGAGGCATTCTTGCTAGCTTCTAAAATTTCACGTTGATGGCCGTGTCATTTCCTGCTTGGGGACCCGTATTTGGGACGAGCTGTGGGGTTTGTTCCGCACGCTAAGGATTTCATCTAGTTTTGTGCAGTTCTGGATTCTCGGGGCTTGATTCAGTCCAAACTAAATAGCTCAAGAAGTCGGAAAAATCAAATCCTACAGAAGTGTCAGATAAATCCGATGATATTTTGACAATCGATCCTCAAGCCCCTCTTTGCGGAATGTGGATTGGATAGGAGGTTGTTGGCAGTATTCCCGGGATGAAGTGGAGTATAATTTCCCTCCAAGACTTTGAAGGAAAAGGGTAAGGATGAATTCCCTTCCTGAAGGTACTCAGAAGCGAAAGTCCTTCGAATGGTTACTTCAGCAGCTCAGCCCATGGCCTGGTTTATACCCCCTTAAACAACAATTGTGAGTAAAGAACTTATTATCTGAAAACTGGTTCCTCATCTAGGGTCCATGCAACAAGTGGCCGTGAATTCATAGTTGGAATTATCGATGAGCCATTTCCCTCCCGCCCCGGAATTGCAGAACGGTGAAACCGCCCATTTTGCGAGCCATGGTACTGGTTATATTGAGGCTTATTGGGGTTGGCTTTTTCATTGCAGTATTAGCCTTCCCTAGTAGAAATATGAGAACGTTCATTTTTGTATCGATTAGTTTATACAGGTGTGATTTGCTTTCTCAATTCCCCCAGTTACTTTAATGAAATACTCCTACTCGATCTCAAAGGACGTGCATTCCAATAATCCACTACTTTATTGTATTCCAGATTACATCCCTGGGATTGTTGCCGCCGTTCTATTTCATATGGCCTCATATTCTTCGCGGAACCGATTGCGAAACCGAGTTGGTTAGAGAGGCGTACCATCGGATGGTACCTCGTGAAATGTCGAGGTTCTTGATGGTCTAATATTTTTGACAATAGAATTAACGGGGCCGATTGATAGAAATGGACTTGTTATGACTTGACTACTAGTGACTTTTGCGGCGTGGGTATCCCTGAGCTTTCTTCGGATACAGTTTATTTTCCGTGCCGATGCTAACCTGGTGGTAGTTTTGTATGCAACAATTGCATGATTTAACATCCATGGATGGTTGGTGGTGGGCAAGGGTCTTTTGGAATTATACGTACATATATCATAATATCCAGAAAACTTTTCTATCATTACCCCGTTATTTTACCCTATCCAAGAACCAAAGGTGAGATATATCCGTTACCATTTCCAACTTATCCCTATACCTCATGCATGGCTGCTATCATAACTCCCTCTCCGATACCATCTCGATCTGCTATAGCCATATCCCAGTACTCTTTCCATGACCATCTTCGTCCTTGGAAGTTCGGTCGGTAACATCGAACGACAACCTTCTTTTACACAAGTGTTGTACTTGCTTTCTACGTTGTCAGATATAAATACTACATTTGTTCGTCCGGTCCTCGAACGTGGAATAGAGTATGGCACAAGGCTCTTGATTTGGGTCATGGCACATCCCATCGAAGAAAGCGTGGTTGGTGCCTGTCTGGTGCTCCCATGATGATGGCCATGGCCTGCCTGACTGATGAAGTGAGTTACGTCACGTCTAAATGACACTGAATGCGAGTGTTTCCGTTTGATTATCATTGCGGGAGAGATGGATCATCGATAGAATGGCAGGTACTCCATAGAGGGATGAGCTACACCTCTGCTGACGATTTGCATCCAGGCCGGAATCATACACAGACATCTGGATACACGAAATATCAATCTACCATTTGCAGCATTAGCAAAGAAAAGTAAGAAGCAATGAAATCGTATCTTTTCATGCCGCAGTTTGCCATTACCGTTGAATACTCATAACTTTCATAGAACTGGAAACTAGTTGTACCCCTATTAACATCCAACTAAAAATCCATATCGGACAGATGCTGAGAGAACCAGCTACAGTTCGGGATTATCATAACAATGGGAATGATTTCCAGAGTTGATGTGAGCAAGGAATTCAACAGCTGAAATATGAACACCAACAGAGGATATAAAGTTTGAGGAGATATCAGAAGGCCATCTCGCTTCCAATTTTTTTTTTTTTTTTTTTTTTTTTTTTTTTCAAAACAGTTTGCACTGGAAGCTGGGCATCCAAAGCTGAAGTCACAAAATAGAAATCCCATGTCCCTCGATCCACAAGAGGAAAAGAGAGGCGAGATCGAAAAGGACATAATGCCCGTGGGCATTTCTCTGGTTGCAGCACATGGCAAACACCACGCGGGAAAAAATAAAAAAAAAAAAAAAAAAAAATGAAAAATGAAAAAAGAAAAGAAAAGCAGGGGGGAAAAATTACAATAGCTAAAGACGAAATCACAAACCCGGAGAGAGTGTGAGACAACGGCACTTCTAAGGTATTGACTGGTTGGACTGTTGACGGCTGAGTCTGTGCGCTGGAGATTTATGATCCTGACCAGGCCCAGTCCGTCATGCACGAAGGGGAGGGAAGGCGGACATGCCCCTTGAAAAAAATTCCCGGAGGGTGGGAAGGGAAGGAGAAGTGGTATGGAGGAAGAAGAAATGAGGAATCCACAACCCTGCGCGCAACAAGCCCCCACGATATAAATTTATAAATAGCATGGTACATCCCATACGATGCATCAACGATTCAGAGATTGATCCAGATGTGGCTGACATCCCCGCAAGCTACTAGTCAGCTCCTGATCGATTCGAAGAATAATAATATGTACTAAACCTTACCAGCGATATGGATCAGATCATCAGGGGTGTTGATGAAACACGACAAGTTAGAGGAATAATAAGCGACAGCAAAAACAAGAGACAGTAAAAGCCGTCAGCATCTCACTTCGTCGTACGGCTAAAGCAGGTGTAGAGAGGTGGATGATATCTTGAGCTACCGATAGATAACGGGATGTTGACTACTTGACAGAGAAGCGCAACTCACCACCTTCCAAAGGGCACAAGAGGATGGTAAAAGTGGCGACGGGGCTTAGAAAAGCTTATTGCATCGCCAGCCGCAGCCCCTTTTTGCAGGGGAGGACGGAAAAAGAGTGGAGCTGGAGTTGTGTTGGGAACCTACACCAAACCGCCCTATCCAATGAACATACGAAACGGAAATAAAGGGTGGGAAATTAATGCTGGGCTAAAATCAGGATGATGGAATCTAACACGTGGGATGGCTTGGACAAGAAATCTGACCGGGTTGGTACGTTGTAACTTGGTAGTTGGAGTGTTGTCAACAGGAGGGAGATCTTTGCAAAACGGGTCGAAAGGCTTTCATCCATCCGTGCACTTGAACAATCAAGGACAGCTAAAATCATCCAGTCTCAGGGGTCATGTTCACAACTCATTGTAATTTAAGATTTGTTTCGAATAAGCAGAGGGATACGATAGTGTCCAAACTTTTTTTTATTTTTTTTATTTTATTTTTTATTTTATTTCAAAGCTGGCGAAGAGAGAACTAGCAAAGAAAAGATTTCAGCTGTTGGTAGTTTTACGAATAATGAGAGGGGACATGTCCCACATCGTAAGGGTGATACAGGTTCATTCTCTTATTTGCTGTTAAGCTTTGAACGATCGGTTGATGTTTTTCTGCATGAAAAGGAGCGAATAGCAGGGCTGTTTTAGCGAGGTCGAGAGGCGAGGAGGGAAGAATATAACAACTAAGGAAAACACGAGACACCAACCAGACTGTCAACGGGTCCACCTTCACTGCCGCTCACTCTTTGCCCCTTTCCTTTTCCTTCTGTCTTGTTATATTTTTCCTTCGCTTCGTACACACCCCTCGCAGGCTCGCACAAGAGAAGCTGATGTTGAAATTGAGCATGGACGGTAAACCCCTGCATATCCTTTCGGCTACTGCAGCTGCGAATAGCGAATAGCGAATTAGGATGAACATCATCAATATGTGAGCGGAGGAAAAAGACTTTTGGGTAGTCAGGTGAGTGTTTAGAAATATCCATCCAGTGCATGGGTACTGGGAACCTTGGTATCTAGGGGAGAGTATATACGTTTTTAGGACTTAATCCAAAAGTAAGATTCCAACGGGATAGATGAACCTATCCATGATTAGGTGTGATAGGAGATGTGTGTTCTGTCAACTCCCCTTTGATCTCGTCGGAATCGACACTGTATGTTCGCTCGAGCCTGAAGGCTCTAAATCTCACGGTGCACGGGAAAGGGGGCCGGGCTGACAGGTTTGACTACCAACGCCTGCATGGGAAATGTGGGAGATATCTGGAAACGGTATTATGAAACTGTTCTGATAGGTTAAACCCGATTATTGGCACAGTTAGCAGAAGTGAAATCCAAACGGCTCTATTATGCTGAGACAAGGTCGAGTAAATCTGCAAGTCTGAATCAGTATCCTCATGCAGATTTAGGCTCAATCTTCGATGCCAAGCATCATTAAGGAAACGATCTGCACTTTGCTGGCTTTTGCTCTCTCCTCTTGCTTTCTATCACCCCTCCACTCCGTTTCCCTGCGCGTGTGATGTGACTGACGTGTATTCAGCTCTGCTAGCAGCAGAAACAACAAACCCTCTTCAGCATTGAATTTACAAACCGAAGCTTCAAGAGCCAGCATGACTGGATGTTTGCTGACCGAATGAAGAGATGAGCGGGTATCATATAGTCTAGATCGCTGGTGAGAGTTTGCTCTTTTGGACCCAGCAGGCTGGTCTGGTGCGTTCTTAGGCTGGGATTGCACAATCAAACCAATGAGATGGAACATCCTTTTTTGAACCAAGCATCCAAGACCACTGGGACCGTCAGCTGCATCTGGCAGGAAAACTAGCCACACTGGCGGGTTGGCACTTGGAAGCGGTTGAATATGGAGCCTCATGGGGGAGGCCACACCCGCAACCTTTGCCGTTCATGTGGCGAGCGGGAAGAAGCCATCTTCATCAGCCAGAAACTTCAAAGCTCGATATCCTTGAATTATTCTCCAGACATCGGATTTCCACACCGCCACGAGCACGGACTCTGTTATGGTATTGGCAATAGCTTCCGCGATAAATAATAATGAGAAGAATCAAAATAATCAAAGCCTGGACAGGGCTTGACACTGTACATGGGCAATGTTTCTTTCCATCCTTTTTCTTTTCTGCATATTTTTTCTGCCACTTTCTTTTGCTGCAGTAGCCGGAGCGATCATAGTTTTAGTGGGGGGACGATATTTTAAAGAGGGCTGGAGGATGATAGTGTAGTTTGATGTTCTGCGCAATAGTTAAATTGCTGCAACTTGGCATAAAATGGAACAAGAAGAAAGTTGATTGTTGTGAAATCTTCTACATTATCATTATCATCATTGGACAAAACAGGGGATTGCTTTCATGTCCATAGAAGAGGAAAGCAACAGCAACTGAATACCTAAACTTGGTAAATTATGATTAGTATTAATTGGATTCTGGCAGTCACCAGCTCAATGATCACTTGGCTCTGCGGAGATGACCAATGGAATCAACCCCTACGCGGTTCATCTTGGGCTGTTAACACGGGCGGTCATCCAACGGGCTGCAGCAAGTCGGGAGAGTGGAGCCGACCAATAAATCATGATTTGAAAAGAAAACAAGCTCATTTGAATTACAGCGACGTTCTCAATTGATACGTGATTGTTACAACGAGAAGAATAGCCTCGTCCTTTTGGCGAGGGGCTATTTGGCACATAAATTGAAGGAAAAGAAATACGCAGTAACTATTTGTTCTACTTTTCTCACTTTCAATACTGCTTGATGGAAAACCGCGATAGAGGCCTTTCGGTGATCACAGCGAATGAATATTGGCAATCACTCTCGATTTAATAATTGTCCGAGTCAATCTCTGTGATCTTTGTTAAAGATTGATGAGGAGCCTACCAACGATATGTGAAGTTGGCATTTTAAGTTGAGCTCCAAATTGATGGTCTCCTGTAAGGTCAGTTTCAAAAAGCACCCATGAGAAAAAGGAAAACAATTGTGAACTCGTTTTTGAAAAGAAACCCCCTATTCACGCTACTTTTGACTTCCATTCAGTGTGCTTCGAATTGCATACTCAAAGAGTTTAAAATGGATGGATGTGTATGCACACGGAGTACGCATCCGGTTTTTTTTTTTTTTTTTTTATGATTAGTTGTGAGGGTGGGGAACTTAATCACCCTGATTAGATCTAGTGGGGGATTCTTTGTTCCAATAGGAACGAAGAGTTGGCAGCCAAAAGGAATCATATATTACATTACACTCCTAAAACAGGGACTAATAAGTGCAGAGTTAAAAAGAGAATGCTGGTAAAAAATGACCTGTGTGGCGTCCAGAGCACCAGCGGTGCAAAGCACTAATAGGGGACAGCCAGTGACATATTTGCTTCATGAGGCAGAGATGGAAGTTTGTGGGGCAACCTAGCAAACATCATAAACGAGATTCAATAGCATCAGGGGCATATCAATCAGTCTTTATCGACGTAAAAGTCACTATTATTGCATGAAAAAATTATGTTCGCTACCGGCATCTGAGCAAGGTTTGAAATCTTAGGCATTTATTACTGAGCTGAAGTGTTGTCAGCCTGTCTCAAGAGACTATTAGTAAGGGGTGGAATGCACCAAGCTTCTCGCCCTCAACCTTGGAAAATACCTAGCTAGGCAGTTTTTCACCTGTTACATAAAATGTATATATTCCTGTGCTGACTTTGACTATGCCTAGTTCAGCCGAGAGAAACCTCTCTCAATGGGATCCGGACATATACATACAAAACTTGATGAGCGAAATTTTGCTTATTTCCGGTTTACGTAGTACAGAAGAAGCCCGGGGGGTTCTGCGTGCTCTCTCCAGACATACTTTGCTCGGTGACCACGGTACACGCAGATGTTAATCCCTACATTCCAAATCAGTAATAATCGTGCACGTTTGGCGCACATATGCGGATTTGTATTTCGTCGTGGGGACGCAGAATGGCACGTTTGTTATCCAAACCCAGCGTTGCTACTAAACATGATGGACATGTGTGGATAGGGTGGAGGCGAGGCAAGATATCGCATGGCAAGCAGGGATTATTATTAGTCCCTCGACGTTCGGAATGTGGTCCCAGGACTAAGCAGCCAAAGGGGAGCGGACCAGCAGACTTAGTCCTGACCTACAAAGTGCCCACTTAGTTAGCCTGTAATCCATCAGATTCTTACGAGCTGAGAGGGCCGGATTGTGGGATATTCAAGCTGGAGCCTTCAGGAAAACGTCAGGTGAGCATAAGTCCCAACTTCGGCGACTAGGCCCATATCGCAATATCTTCAGTTGCAGGAAGAGCTAAAAATACAACTCTTAAAAATAAAATAAGACAGCGAAATCTAATAGTTGTGTCTTGGACGAGCATTGAAGGAGAGACTGGCGCGCGAGAGACATTGTCAAAGCCCTAATCGGAAACCCTAGCCCTAGGTCGAGCCGCATCAAACTTCCAAACATCGCACGCTCAGCCTCACCCATTGATATCTTGACATCTGATTTTTGGAGACAGAAGCTTTTTAAACGGTAAAAGGCGATGGTATTATCCTGGGATGTGGCGACCAATTGTCTGCCCATGAATATGATTGACAGAAGCGATTATTAGTACAAGAACTACCAAAGCTTAAATGTTGAAGAGAGCAGATGTGGCTCGACCTGCTTCATGGTCCGCCTGTCATTCTCGTATTATTACTCCCACGTACCCACTGCTTGAAATCTTTGCCAAACCCCGCTGACAATATCCAGAACTAGTTGGGACCTTAGGCTCAAGGCTATTGATAAATTCTGTCCCGTTATGTTCTAAGTCGTCTCTGTCTGGTTGAAAAGAGGATCATCTGCTGGCCGCTTTTGATACTCTCCTGCCATAGCCTGCCTTAGCCTGCCAGATTGCTGGGGCTTCTGTCACTGATGAGATTGTATAGGATGAGCAAAAACAATAATCATATTCATCAAGGGTTCTGAACTCTGGACCAAGGGTGGTCTCTTGGCATAAGCCATATCGGACTCGTTAGTTTGACAATCAACCCTGTCTGGCGCATGCTGCAGACGGAGCCCCCAGTTCCCACCAAACAGAAACTTGCTCTTGCTCGCCATACGAGCGTCCTCGAATCAAATGGACCAAGTTTTGTACCACTTTGGACGAGTTGCAGATTGCAGCCGCACCGTGCGCCAGCGACGAAAAATGGACAGTTTTCCCTTTGTTCCCACTGGGCTCGTGTCAGAATTTGGACCAACCACCAGCGAGCCTGATCGTCGCTTCTTCTTTTTATTTTTTTTATTTATTTTTTTTATTTTATTTTCTTTTCTTTTTAACCCCGCCGCTGCTTTGAGCATTTTCTTCGCCTCCCCAATGTTCTTAATTCCACCATTTAGAGACTAGTCAAGGGACCGGACGCTTGTCAAGGTTCGTCGCCAGTTAGTCTCTTTTCGTTGGTGCTTTTCCCAGAGCCTTTCGGTTTGGCGAGAGGCCCATCCAGCCTCTCCCGTGACCCCAAAATCCTTAAATGACGGGTCATTTGGAGAGGGGTCATTAGTGGAGGAATGTGAAGTTTGAAGGGGGATATTGCTATGACTGGACTCTGGATTGCTCTGGATCTATCCCGGAAAGCTCAGCACAGCACTTGCATTTTCTCTGTCCCCGGAGTATCCGACTTCTGATTGGAAAACCGCTGGTCATTGAGAGTCCTGGATCCCAAGCTTGACAAAGGGACGATCGCCCAATTTTCACAGTCGAAGTCCCAAGAATCAATCATTCATACCTCCATACGATACCGTCCTTAGGTTTACAATTACCTTTTGTTATTATTATTATTTCCACGTTTAACCTTTATTTGTTTGATTACCGTACCCATCTTCCGCAGGTACCGTCGCTTGCTGCCTCCTGGGTTTCCGGCCTGTGCATTTACCCAGAATTATGAGAAAGTAGAAAAACACCTCTGCACCCTTTTCTCGCCTCTTTTTTTTCGTGTCTCTCTTTCATTTCAAATTTCACTGAACACTGACTGTGACACTTTGCTTCCTTCTTTTGTCCTTTTGTCCCTTTTCTGCCTCTTAACAATATAAGTTGGCAATCCTCACCCACAAACGCGCCAGGCTTGTACAACGTATGCGACGCGAGAGTATAGCAGGAAGAAAAGGGAAATAAACAATTCGACCGGAGACCTCCAGACGGGAGCAGTCTATTCACGGAGGACCCGAGAGCAGATCAAATCGTATTATTATTTCTCTGGCCAGTGATCAGTGATCACTGAGTTTATTCCTGCGCCTCCCGACAGGGAAAACCTGCCTGGAGTTCCAGGGGCTGCTCGAGCTACCCCAAGTGATCGTCGTCTCTCCGCTCCACATCCTTTATCAAGATATAGCGAAAAGTTCATCTCGACATTTTTTCGACGCCGACCTGGAGGAGATATTTCTTGGGTAAGAACTCTTGACCTCGCTGTATTATTTTTTTTTTTTTTTGTTGAACTCAGCTTACTGTGGCGAAAAGACCAACCACACCTGCCTGACCGTGCAATTAACACCCCACACACGAAACTACTCCATTTATCGACGACTGATTATACCTATCGCGGTTCGAAACTTCTTCCGTGATTTGAATTTTGAGTTGGTACGAATTTACCCTATTTATAGCCCTTGTTCCTTCTTTTCCTTGTCTGAATTTCCTACATTATTTTTCACGTCCAAAAAGAGCTGTCGGCGCTACTGTTTTCGAAACATTTCATAATATCAGCTTTCTTGTTTGACCTCTACCTACATCCAATGGAGAGTTTTCATCCAATGATTTTGGCTATTAGCTCGCATCGAGTTCTGTATTAACCATAACCTCACTTCAGGATGCAATTAACTCAACTCGAAACTTAAAGCCCCTCTTCCGAACCTTCATTGATGCCATCTCTTATGCGTTTGCGTTGACGACACTTCTGTATCCCGCCCAGGCCCAATCTCGAGTGTTCGTCCTGAAAGGTTATCATTGCAACTAGCTTCCGACACATATCTTTCGCCAGAGGCTTCGCTTCTTGTACCGATATCGGTTTGTTCAGTCACTTGTTACGAACCAGCACCCCATCTGCTATTTTCGAGCTCTGATTGATCCTATCCACCTCTTTACAATCAACCCAACCGTCTATACCAACACGTGAATTTCTACCCAACCCTTTGGTGTTTGTGGTTGTTGAAATTGGCCAGAAATTATCTATTCCATACTCCAACGGGGGCAAGAACCCCTTACTACTGCTTCCCAAGCACCCATCCCAGGTTCCGAACTCTCAGGGCGGCTAAGCCTGTCACGAAACCTTTCCGTCAACGTGGCGACCCTCGCAGTCCAGCCTCCCGGAATGGGAACGGCGCTTGATGCTCTGAATTCACACCAGCCACTGACATCTCGACGACCAGCTTCAAACAACTTACCAGGTTTCGAGCTTCTCCATCCTCAAGTTTCGCAGTCACAAAAATTTTCCCTCCCTTCAAATACTAACGTACAACAACCGTCTAGAGTTGGCAACCTATTAACCCCACTATCGATCTCATCATCAGACGCCGGATCTTTACCTGCGTTCGCGAGCCATAGTTCTGTCTCATCCGCGCAAGCTGCCCCTTCGTATTCGCAAAGTTATTGGTCAACCACAAGTAATTTTGGTTCTGGTATGGTCAACCAGCCCTGGCCCCAGTCCTTTCCTTCAAGGAGCGAGTTTTCACCACCCTCATCATTGGCAGGTCGAAATACTTCGAGCTCCCCGACCACAGCAGAAAGCTTAACACCTACTTACGATATAAACCATCGTACTTACTTTCAATCCGGCGTTCCTGGCCCACCGACATCATCTGGCCCTTCGCCAGCAACACAGCAGCCTCAACAGACTATGGCGCATATCTTGATGAATGCGCAAGCGACTGCGGCGACGGTACCACCGACTCTACCGGCGCAGAACAATGTCGATGCTTATGGACAGAAACTTCCATCAACCCCGCTTTATAGTGGACCGCAACATACTACCCACCATCAATCCGCTTTCCATCCATATCAGAGTAATGGCGGTTCAGCTATGCACCATTCTAGCGCGAACGGGCCAGTATCGAGGATCTCACCGATCCAAGTTCAGCTGCAAAGTGAAGGACCCCACCAATTAGCCCAATACAGTACCCGACCATATCCATCCTACTCTTTACCTGCAATGAGCGGGCCAATTATGACAAATGTACACAACCCTGGCAGTCAAATGACGCTTATGGGATCTATGCAGCCAAATCTGTTGCCAGCCTTCAACAGCGGCCATGCAGCTGCTATGAGTGGCATGTACAATGGACATCCCCATCATATGCATGGGCTTATGCAACATCCCCAGCCCGACGATAGGCCCTACCGATGTGACCAGTGTTCTCAAAGTTTTAGGCGCAACCACGACTTGAAAAGGCATAAGCGCATTCATCTGGCGGTTAAACCGTTCCCATGCGATCACTGTGCTAAGAGTTTTTCGCGAAAGGATGCATTGAAGGTATAAATTCCCTGGAGCAGTTTCCCCATGATCAACTCCAAAATACTTTCCGTCCATATATCACGTTCCTTACTAATCAAAATATTTGTGTAGCGGCATATTCTTGTTAAAGGCTGCGACAAGGAAAAGGAAAAGGACAAGGACAAGGACTCTCAGTCCGATAAAAACAGTTCTACGACTGCCACCTCCCCAGTAATGTCGCGTAAGGACGGAGGCGCAGGCAACCAGACCAATGTTCGTTCTCATAATTTCAAAGGAAACCAGGATTTGAAATCGCATTCATGAAATCCTGCACTTTCAGTTTTTTATTGGGTTTTATCCGGTGTATACGTGATTTATTCATGTTGCTTTTGGTTTATGTTCTATAGCAGTTTTTCTCAACCTCCACATAATTACAATCTAGCCCCCTTTTGGTCTTAATTTTTTATTATTTATTATTTTTTTTATTTATTTTGAGTTCACATTTTATTGTTGTATTCTTTTCGGAGACAAAACGACAAATACCTCTTTATTGTTTGGAATTTTATAGGGGTATCAATGGGAAACAGGGTAGAGTTGAGGTGTCATTAGGCCCATTTTTATCGAATATTGTTTCCCATAGCCCGGTTTTTCGTGCATCATCTGTTAGTTTATTGACATTCCCCTTTTATCATGCAGGGATAACATTGTCTGTTTGCTTGCAATTCAGCTTCTGTCTATCATATTTAAGGTGTTTGATATCCCTCTTTTTGCAGTCCTAGTCTCTCGTCATGCGCCTTTTAAGCAGCAACTTGTTACCCTAATTTCTGTTCATACTCTGGTCGCATTGGCCATCATTCACAATACCTTTTCCCCCCTGCTATTGGCTAGCTATGTTTGTTCACGCAAGTTCGTTCTGATTTCCATATTTCCTTCATCTCCTCTACGATTATTTTCCAGCATTCTTCTTGTGTATTCTGCTTTTCACATATATGTTCGCCTGTATCGCTATGTAAGTACGTACATTGTGCGCCATTCAATATCCTCCTTTTGGGCGCCGCTGACAAAATGAGAACAACAAGAGAAGGTTATGAGAAAATTACAAATAATCTAAGATATTGATTGATGTTGGAGTATCTTGAGCGTTTTTATATGGCACTTTCTGTGGCTGTTATGATACTTACAAATACTTACAACAGCACACTAGAAACGGATCTATGAATTACCTAGGCACTCAACAATTGACAGTAGGATTGGGTAAACATCCTATTCCATGAATGTCATAAGTGTTTTCAAGTCATTTCCCGGTTTGCTACCGTTTTGTTCTAAAATAGACACTTAACATCCATCCGTGCCGACGATGACAACTCGAAAATCACTTCGTTCCTCCTAGGTGCATAAACTCCATTTTCAATGACGCCAACTCAGATAACACAGACTAATAAACAGACAATGCGTAAATTGAAGCCCTATCATCAGAATGAATCTTATAACCCCTATCCAACCGCCGCAATGCCAAACCCTTTGCGATTTATCGCGGAAAACGACATGGAGATGTTGGTAAACAACTGGATTGATAACGCTTGTTCATGGTAAGAAGCATCGCAAAACGTTCCTTGGCAATATCTGTCCTTCGAACTAGATCTCCAATTAACTCCTGCAGAGTGATTCGGAAGTATTTTGAAACTGCATGGTGCTCAGTTTGTGCCGTTCAAAGGTCCTCAAAGCAATCGGAAATCACAGTCCTCTTTCGTTTAGACTACTCTGTAGTACGGGCAGTGTCCTCTTCCTCCATTTTGCGCCAGAAGCCTGGGACGCCATGGACGTTCTGATAAGGCCAATAAGGGGGCCTCGCGTAATGCACTCTCCATCTTCTAGGCTCATGAAGCTTGTCATAGAACTGAAAACAAGAAAGGACTTCTATATACCTCCAGCCGACATCCTCATTCTCATTTGCAGTATTCCCATCTTCAAAATTTGGATGAACAGTATATGCCCTCTTGTTGACTGGCAGCGGACCCCATCCCCTGCAAAGCAACTTGACGACAGGTTCGGTCATATGCTCGACAGACTCCAGGCAGATATCGTCGATGAAAAGACAGAAATTATATCGAGTTTCGCTGATGATATTTTTACGCAGGACATCTTCCTCCTCACGCTCGGATTCTGGGAGCTTGGGGAGCTTAGCCATCTCCTCTTGCACCCAATGGTTGAAGTGATCGCGAACAACGTGCGACGAGGCGCCATCGAATTGAGCTTTGTTGTCAATTGCAATCAACTCGTGCTGGGCCCAGAGATCTCCGCCGCCAGCCGCAGTCAGGTAATCTTCCATATGGCATCGGATTAGGTCAAGCATGTTCTTCCAGGCATCTTCATCTTTGTAGGAGCAACGGTATACGACGAACCCCCAAGTTTTATCTCTCTTAAGCTTATCGTCTTTGAGAGCCTGATCAATGGACACGAGGGGTTTGGTTTCATCATCCCAGAGGAGCTCGCAGTCGGTATCCCCTTCGCTGCTCATGCTGGCGGTTGGTACTGATGGTGCTGATGGTACTTGTGAATATTGAAAGGATTTTGTGGATTGGGCGATATGCTGTCCCTTTGCTCTAGTTTCTCTTGCTCTCGCAGTTGTCGCAGTTGTCGGTCCTGTTTGTTGCGGTTGCTACGGTTGCTGGCTAAAGGGTATAGATAACCTTCCAGAGCAAGGTAGGCGTAAACAGGGGTTCGTCAAGTGCTGACATGGAGTATGCCTTCGAGCAAGCCTGACGAAGGATATCAGCTACATGCAAGATATGAAATGAATGGTATGTAGCCTCTAGTTTACTTCAGTCAATGGTTAAATATGAAGTAGTTCTATTTGAGCCGGCCAGCATTTTTGGGTTACTATTCTCTACTGTTCTCTACAGAAGGTAGTTGAGGTTTAAGGGGTCTTTAATTAGGAGATACTGATACTCGCCTAGGGGTAAATCCCTTTTTGAATCGTGAACTTGCAGAGGTGAGGTTAAAGTTATGTGAACATATTTGGGTGATTCTAGGCTGTGAGCCCGTATTCAGGAGTGACCAAGTGGACGAGAGACCACGGAATTACCCAACGGGGTTGCCGTTTTTCTTCAGTATGATTAAATCAATTGCAATGGATTGAGGAGGCCCTTTACGATTTGTGCCTGATGGTGTTGTGAAGAATAGTTTACGGGCGAAATATACGATAGTATTACCCGTATCTTCTACGATAAAATCTAGGGTGGTCAGATCCCTAATTCTTAGAAGTTCATATCGGTTCCGAAGCTGTAAGCATGGGACCCGATAATCTCAAATATTCTATTTCACTGCCACCACATGAACGTCTCGAGGACATCGAGGTTAGGGGTGCAGCAAAGTGACTTTTCGCGATACCCTTGCAAGCAATCAGAATAATTTTCGAAATGGTGTGTAGGTGAGCAATGCCTACAGTTACAACAGAAACCATATTGCGAGCAACCTTTGTAATTTATTGTTAGTAAGACAACATGCAATTTCCATATATACCTCGTGTATATAGATATATACCTTGTATTCAGGGGGCAAGTCTTGTTTGCTGGCTTCACCAACTCTCCACATTCTGCACCGGCATCGCAATTGCTGACGCAGCCGTTGCCACGGCACTTGGGCCCATATCTGCAATAGCCATCAGCTAGAATCATCAATTCCGTACCTATGATAGGGAGGTTGTCGCAAGACTTACAGCCACAGCATACACCATTACTACACGGTTCTTGCAGAGCATGTTAGTCAACGTAAGCAAAAGACTAGAGCTGAATCTTATGCTTACAGCTAAGATTGCTGGAGCGGTCGTCCTGGCGTGACAGAGACACATTTTATCTCCGGCAGTGAGAACTGTTGCCAGGTTCGAAGTATTGCCTCCTGTAACTACCGCCCAGGTAAAGGAGGATCTACAAGTGGCTTAAGGGGGGTATTCGTATTTATCCCCTGGCAAAAGTAAGGGGTTGTAAGGAGAAATCGCAAGAGTCAGAGCAGCAGCAGCAGATTGACTGATAACTACAGCTGCTAGAGTTAAACGCGGAGGTCAAATATCTCTAAGATAGCGAAGAAAAGAAGCTCAGAGGGGGTATTCCGGTAAGAAAACAAACAACGACGTCTGAATCATGTCGTCCAAAGAGGTTGAACAGACGCGCGGTCACTTTCCTGGACCACGGCTAGCAGAGGTAAGACCCGCATCATTTCAAGTCTTTTCCCACAGGACTTTTAACGAGCAAGCACCGGCAAACATTAATGGAATGTTGCTGGGAATATAATAGTTAAGAAACATTTGGGAGAGTGCTTATTATCTACGGTATCTATATCATTTGGCAATTTACTCCTCTCTATTCCACCCAACCTTGAAAGACACGTCGCCAGAGAGGAAACTTTCATGTTTTTGGTAAAAAGGAGATTATAGTTGGCAGAAAAAGGGATGAAAAGCAGAATGAAAATCTCGATGCTGCGTAGAACTGTGTGTATGTACCGCGACTCAGATCGCGTTGATGATGGCTGTTGTTGAAGTTCTGATGATGCTGGCTGGATGCTGATGACGAATAATATCGCGGACGTGTCTTCGTTCAGTTGATCCTCTCTTAACATCCGGGAGACGGGAGGCTTATACGGACTCTCTAGATCAGGGGAACTATTGAGTCAGCCATGATTCGATCTATGAGATCACGTGGTCAACTACCCTTTAAACGGCCTACAGGATACAAATCCTGGAATGAACGGACACTGGTACCAGGATGCCCAGATTCCCCCGTCTGGGAGCTAGCTTTGAGCCTTTGTTATCGTTTCACACGGGCGGCAAATCAGGTTTTGAGCCTCCTGTGTGTCACGGGAAGGGCTTCATTGACTTGGTGGAAACGGATACAGACTTAGATCTCTGATCATATTGCTTCAATCTTGAGTTAAATCTCAGAGTCGGGGAGTTGTGGTACCTTGCTTCCAGGATTATATGTGCATTTCAGCATGGTCGCTGGCATGTCGCTGACATCTAAGGGTGAAATAGCGTGTTCAAGTGTATTTCTCCACCCGTGTCGAGCGGGTGTACTTCGTATCCCCTGGTAACTAACAAGATGGGTTGTCTGCTTAAATTCCGGTGCTGGCCTTTTTTGTCTCCTCCAAATAGAGCCAACGGTTTGACTCTCTATATCATAAGCTTTATCCTTACAGGTAAAGCAACTCTGTTTTTCTCTGATTATCTTGTACTGAGTGACGCCCTCATCAAGCTGATTTCGATTCTTGATTCCGGTTCTGTATTCTCTTGTTTCCATATGATGAGACTTGTATAACGCGATCCAGATCACGTGCAGCAGGACGGAGCAATCAATAAAACCTGTTAAACCCTGGCCATCATTGAGGCACCTACGTCATCGTTCAACAAAACCACCAATTTGTGATCACAGGAATTGTAAGTGCGGAACGGACGGAAAGCTCCTACAACCTGTAGGATTGAAAATTTGTTCAGAAAAAGAAACCGGTTAGTTTTATGACACGTAAACGAGGAGATAAAAGTAATCAACGTTGTTGCACCTTGGCTGGAGCAGAGCTCGATATTTGTTTAACTATACCTTTTACTACCTGCAGTACACGAAAAACGCCACGCCGTTATCTGCCATTGGGAGAAAATAGCATCGTTTGATCACCCCAAAAAAAAAAAAAAAAAAAAAACATTCAGTCCGCAGAAAACATGAGTCTTGCGTGTCATGTAAGTGGTATTTCAGATATGAGTTGACTAACCTCGTCATCCGTTGCGCACATCCCTACTAAAATCTATTCTGAATTCATTCAAATAGCTATTTGCTCTTCTACTATCCAACTGTAATTGGTGCTCTACAATTATACCCCTTACGTCTTCATTTTTCATTTCTGCTAACCGATTACCGGCTTCAACTATGCCTGCAGGTCGATGCCAACAAGTTGGTTGAGGAACTACGCAGCGACCCGGAAAGGAGGAAAAGCGAGCGCCTCTGGACTGAGAGTGTCTCCGGATCCATGATCCCGTATCCCACGCGATATGCCAGCCGTGAGGAAATACCCAGATTCAAGATACCGAAGGAAGGGGCGCCGGCGGAGGCAGTGCGTAGGATGTTGAGGGATCACTTGGATCTGGATGGGATTCCAAATTTAAACATGGCTAGGTTGGTGACATATTTTTCGCCTGCGCAGTTTTCGGTGTGGAGAGGCAGGTTTATTTATTTATTTATTTTTCATCCACGTACTAAGATTATGCTAATTAAAACCACTGGTTAATGTCAACAGCTTTGTCGGCACGTATATGGAACGCGAAGCTGACGAGCTTCTCTCGGAAAATATCAACAAGAATTTGGCAGATGCTGATGAATATCCGGCACTGATGGAGATGCATGCACACTGCGTTTCCATGCTAGCAAACCTCTGGAATGCTCAGCCTGGGGGTAATGCAATCGGTTCTGCAACGACTGGCTCTTCCGAGGCCATTCACCTGGGCGGATTGGCAATGAAAAGACGTTGGCAAGAGAAACGAAGAGCTGCCGGAAAAGACATCTCGAAACCCAATATCATCATGGGCGCAAATGCACAGGTTGCACTCCTTAAATTTGCGAGATACTTCGAAGTTGAGCCGCGAATCCTTGATGTCTCTGAGAAAAGCCAGTATAGGCTTGATCCTGAACTGGTTAAAAAGAACGTGGACGAAAATACTCTCGGAGTCTTCGTTATTTTAGGTAGTACATATACCGGTCATTACGAACCCGTGGAGGAGATTTCAAATATACTTGATGAATATCAAGCGAAGACTGGTGAAGACGTGCCTATCCATGTCGATGCAGCAAGCGGAGGATTTGTTGCACCATTCGCTTTCGCTCAGGCCGGAGGCTCCAAATGGTGACTTCTCCCAAAATCGAAATAAGACACACAGGCTGACAACAAGCAGGGACTTTTTGCTGCCCCGGGTGAAATCGATCAATACATCTGGCCATAAATTTGGCTTGGTCTATGCTGGGCTTGGTTGGATTATTTGGCGGGATAGATCGTATCTGCCAAAAGACCTTATTTTTGAGCTTCATTATCTTGGCGGAACGGAAGAGACGTTTACCTTGAATTTCTCCCGCCCCGGAATGCAGGTGATAGGACAGTATTACAACTTCATTCGCCTTGGCTTTAACGGGTACCGTGAAATCATGGAGAATTGTTTGGCAAATGCCAGGTTGCTGAGCAAGGCTCTTGAGAAAACAGGATGGTTTGTGTGCGTTAGCGACATTCATCGAAAGAAGGGGAATTTCAACCTTGGGCAGACGGCTGAGGAGCTTAAAGAATTGTTGAAAAACGTGGAGGGTGAAACATCAGCGGATTATAACGCCGGTCTGCCGGTAGTCGCGTTTAGACTCTCTGACGTGTTTCAAAAAAAATATCCGGATGTAAAGCAGGATAGCATCAGTTTGTTGCTTCGTGCGAAGCAGTATATCATTCCAAGTAAGTCTTGTGCATTCTGGTTCAAGCGTTTCGCAATGAACTTATGTTATATATTGAAGTGGGCATACACTGACAAGTGTTGCGACGACGTATAGATTACCCACTCCCTCCAGCAGTGGACAAGACAGAAATCCTGCGAATAGTTGTCCGTGAAAGTATGTCGGCAGATCTCATCGATCGGCTTGTAGCGGACACCGTAGCTATCACTGAGAAGCTCATGGAAAAGCCAGTAGATATTGCCGCACTCCACACAGGATCTACCTCAATCGCCAGGCGACATATGGCTGCAAATGGGGAAAGGGGTGCAAAGGGAACGAGAAAGCACCACCCTGATGGCATCCACAGAAGCGTCTGTTAGTCCCAATTCCAGTTCTCTTCGTCATCTTGAAAGTATGGTACACAGATTAGCAACAATAATAGCAATGGAATGACGTTTAATTTGTTCGATCCTTGATTTTCCGGTGTTCTTCTCCTGTTGATGTTAATGAGAAATGGGTAGTAGTATTTCGTGTGCATAATCGGTTTTTTTTTTTTTTTTTTTTTTTAAAAAAAAAAAAAAAATATGGAATTGATAAAATCTTCAGAAATCGAGATGTTGGCTCTTCAGTTTCCTAGTTTCTTCCAAGTAAAGAAATCATCATGGAAATAAAGCTCAGGTCATGGTAGACAATAATATCATCAGGTTCCATGACATCAGGTGTCATGGATCCCTTGCTGAGGTAGGCCGTTTGAAGTTTGGGGGCAAAGGGTCTTTACAGAAGACACGAAGCCAACATCCACAGCGGTCGGTTTACTGGAGTCAGACTCTATTAGAGGTGTTGCGTATGTGATGTCGGCAAGGGTTGGCAGGGTCTGGCGGGGGGTGTCAATTGATTGATATTTAGATGGTTGTGATGTTGAAGATGAAGTGGAGAACCCAGCCTCCACCGCGCTAAACCATCTCGGCCTAGTCTACCTAACTGAACCCAACTACTTGGGCAACCTCCGAGTTCTCCCACATTTGTTTCTCCAGCACGTCAAGGCGGATAGCAGGGTATTTCCCCAAAGCCAGAGCTCATTTCAAACCATTGATATGTGTAAAGCTAGCTACTTGGCTGGTATATTATCAGTTGGTGATATTTCTGTCGCATCATTTCACAAGCAGCAACTAAAGATTGCCACTTACTTCCACGGTTACTCAACTCTTGATGGGCCAACCACCACGCAGAAATAACACTGTTGAACTCCTGGGACAATGAAAAAACGATGACCGGCACTTCGGGATTTTGAACAGGAGATACAGAGCACATTGAGTGATCGATAATAAGCGGCTCAAGGTGGCAGAGAAGAGCCGACACGAGGACATGGATTGCAAACCCTGCATGCCTCGATCATTGATCAGGTACCGGAATTCTAATAATACTGATCTAGCGTTGATTCCTTCGCCAAAACAGCAAAGTTCAAGACTACTCCAGGATCTGGAATTGTGCCATCCATTGATCTAATACTTTGCTGGGCTCTTTGTGCATGCCAGGAAGCTCTAGACTCTGAGGGACAACAAACCGACACGACCGTGCGTGCAGCACGGTAATAAATATCCATATTCCCCTCATTGGCTGGAGACTGGGTGGCCATGTTCTCCAGCAAGTCGGATTGTGGAGATCTACCGCCACTACAACGCGGTTGGCCAGAGGCTAGGACCACATGATAGCCCGCTTGATACCTGTGCTCATATGATTTGTTCGCGGTTCTATCGGTCTGTATGGTATTGCGTGTTAGTAGGTTAGTTAACGCCGTAACATCGGTTTTCGGAAGATCATTCAACATTTTCAATGACTCTTCCATCGTGTTTTTGCAATCTTTCCTCAGTCAACCAGGTCGCCATCGCTTTCTGCATCTATTACTGCTTTGGTCTTCTTGCTTTGTATCGTTTTGTCGCTTTTATTCTTTTCTGGAGACATTTGGCACTAGAGAGGGAAGAAACGTCTCGGTTTAAACCCCAGTTTTATTTTGATCTGTCCTAGTTTGGTTGCCGTCCCCGCATTTTGCCTCGCTTTATTGTGTGCGAGTGTTGGGGCAGATTTTGAGTATTAATATCACCTTCATCTTCAAAGGGCTTAATAGCACTTCTTTGATGTATGGTGTTTTACCCTATTTATTAACTTTTATATTTTATTTAAAGTTGTGTCCTTCAGGGCACCTGCTGAATACTGTTTCTTGGAGTCATATACTCTCTCTGTGTCGAGCTTTCTTTTGACACTTCATTTTCGTTGTTCGCCGCGATTCCCGCTTTATTGACTAATACCCGTCAACCAGCTCCCACCGTCTTGTTTCACTCTCGATGTGGATGAGAAGAGTGCTCTGGAGAAACTGTTTTCCTATCTCGGCATGGAAATTGCCCAAACTCCAGACGCTACATCTGCGGAAGCTGTACAACCAAAAAAATGTACCATTAAACCAGGATCGCTAAGCCCGCCCACCGTATTACCCGAGTTGGTGCCTAATTTGCAAGCCAGTAAATCATCAGCCGAGAAGGTATCTGTCAATAGGACTGGAGTTAGCAAACCTAGACAATCTAAAAGTCGAAATGGTATGCATTATGATTCAATGGATTTCTCTCAAGTTAAAACCTTCGCTGGAGATAAGGGTAAAATGTCAAAGGAACCGACCTAACCAGCTGACGCTTGTTTGATTGATTGATCAGGGTGCATGACATGCAAAACCAAGAGACTCAAATGCGATGAGACGAAGCCTACATGTCAGCAATGCCATAAACGGAATGTTAGCTGCGGAGGCTACAAGAAGGACTTTAAATGGAGGCCATTTGAAGAATCTACCTTCACCACAAAATCCACTGCCAAAGTGAAAAAAGGTTGTAACTGCCAGAGATAAGATAGATTCACCCCGGATATTCGTGCTAACTTTCCATATTAATAGTATCCCTACGTGCGCCACCACCCTCTCCTTCCACGCCTACATGTAAACCAGCTCGCTCAGTTCTGAGCTCCTTAACTCCGTATAATTCTCAGTACCCCGAAGAAGATGTCACATCACAATATCATAGTTTATATTCTACGCTGGAGAGCATAGAGCCTCTTCCTCCGTATGATAGCTATCAGCGTGACCTCCTTCCATCGATTCTGGACTTACAGGATCAGTATTTAGATGACTACGAGTACGATGAGATGATGCCCGACTTATCATATTTTTCTTCAGCCCAATCTCCAAAATTATCTGAGAATATATTGGTAAATAATATGGTAGCCGGAGTCGAGAATACTCCTCAGTGGCTTTCGTCGTCTGTGCCCCTCACCCCAGCTCTGATTGACCTCAGGAATGACGATGTGGAGGAAATAGTTCGACAGTCTGCCCCGGAGAAAAACGTGACCTCGAGCTGGAGCACTCTATCGACATCAATTCCTTGTTTCAAAAACATATTTAAAAGGACCATTTCTCAGGGACCGTCCTTACATCCGGAGTCACCAGCAATGCTCCTTACCCGATACGACCGCCAGACATGTGGTATTCTGTCAGTGAAGGATGGGGTTTCTGAAAACCCCTGGAGAACTTTGATATGGCCTCTAGCTGTAGACTGCCCTGCACTCTTTCACGCAATTTGTTGCCTATCTGCTTTTCATTGTGTCAAAGAGAACCCTCGTTTGAGAGTTCACGGCATGGATCATATGCGACAGAGTATCAGTATGCTGGCCACAGGTATTGGAACTATGAAAACAGATGAGGCACTGGCTACAACACTAGCACTTGTATTTGCAGAGTCCTGGGATCGTCATATTTCCACTGGCGTACAACATCTTCGAGGGGCGAGAATTTTACTGAACCAGGCTGTGATACAGCAACAGCAGCGTACGGATATGCAAGCAGATGACCTAGGGCGCCTGAGGTTTTTGTACAATACTTGGCTTTATACCGATGTCATCGCAAGACTCATTTCTCTAGAGGACGGAGAATTCGAGGAAACTTCCTTACCACACGATTTCACCCCTTCCTTACCATACTCACCTGTCCACGAAGTTGACCCTCTCATGGGGTGTGCGACGACATTGTTTCCACTAATTAGCCGTGTTGCGAATCTCGTTCAGAAGGTTCGCAAGTCTAAAACTAACTCCATTCCTATTATATCGCAAGCTATGGAGCTTAAAACGCTCATTGAGGAATGGGAAGTTCCGAAGTATTTTCAACCACCCGTGGATCCAACTTCAAACGTCCAACATAGCTTCCAGACCGCGCAAGCATATCGCTGGGCGACTCTGCTATATCTTCACCAAGCGGTTCCCGAGATCCCCTCGGAGTCTGCTGCTCAACTTGCCAAGCGCGTTCTTGTACTTTTAGCTACCGTCCCGCCAAGTTCTCGAGCAACAATTGTACACATATACCCTCTGCTTGTCGCAAGCTGCGAAATGAAAAATGGGGAGGATCGTAATTGGGTTAAGGAGCGCTGGGAGGCGATGCAGTCAAGACTAATGATTGGAAACGTCGATCGCTGTCTTGAGGTTGTTCGCGAAGTGTGGGATCGCAAGGATGAGTACGATCGACAGAATATGAGGTCAACAGAGGCTGCTTTTGTGCAACTTGTGGATACTACCAAACGAAAGAGCATCTATGGAGTTGGAATAGGGTCTGTGGTGGACGACGAGGATGATCTGAGTGAAGATTCTGCGACATTCGAGCATTCGGACCAACGACCAACAAAGAGACAGATTCTAACATCTCCGGGAGACGTGAAAATGCCGCGTTCGATCTCGTCTCCACGGCAAGCACCGGTTAGTCCAATCAGAAGAGGGTCATTTATTCCGGGGGTGGACAGTCTGGGAATCGAAAATACTGTACGGGGAAGACTACACTGGGTTGGAGTGATGAAGGATTGGGGATGGGAAGGTGATTCTTCGATGCTAATCTCCTATACCAATCCAACCCATGCCAATGCGCAACTTCCTCCATTTTGTAAACCATGCAACTAACTATTTCATCCTACAGTTCTTCTTGGTTAAACCCCAAAACCCAATGTCACAAAAGTGTGCCATTGTCTATGATCCACCGACTTTTCAAACCTCTCCAAACCTCCTATTCGACGGATTATTTTACCAAACTTCGAAAAGTAATTAATATCATCGCTTTTGTAACCCTACAAAGTTTTAATATATCGCACCATTTCACGACTCAATAATTATCACACATTGTTTACACGGCATATTGACCAACCAGACTGAAGTATCTGGCATGTTAATCCGGGGATACGGATCCTCTAGAGAGGAAATGTTCATGGCCCATATCACTAATATTGCATCTATTTCTTCACCCCCCTCCTCTTTTGATTCCTGTTTCAACCCTTTCTTGTCACCACTGTAATTGCCCCAACGTCACCCTACAAATACGTGACGAGGTCTTTTGGAATTTTCACACGTATGCTTGTACTTATTGTTAAAAGAAAGCACGCTTGCCAGAGTTTAAAGCTGGACCACACTCGGAGAGGACCACATCCTATCTATATATTTGCATATATTTAACGTTTTCAGCTCCTTACCAACCCAACTTGAATGTTGTACTTATCTGCTATGTTATGATGAGACGCGCAAGTGCCACTGGTTACAACGTCCCTTAATTAGCGCCATAAAGGGCTTTTTCTTCTGTTTCTCTCTCTTGCGTGGATAATTCATCTGATGGGTACAAGGCGTTGGTCGGTAAAGGAATATACATTACAAGATATGCTCGGAAAGCAGGCAAATTGGCGCGAATTCTGATTTTGTTTCTATTGTTTGTTCATTGATCTGATTTCTTAATTTTTCCTCTTTAACATTGACTCTTCATTTTTCGTGCTAGTGCAACTTTTACCCCTTAACGGTGTTGGTTGATATTAGTTTTTATAAATGTGAACAAATTGCCATTCCACATGTTGTTTCGCCACGTCCTTTAGTTCCCCAATACTTCTCAGTATTCTGGAATGCATATGATATTGGGTTTATTATCTAATTAATATTTTATTCTTAGAAAGTCGTGATTGGGCTGTTCTTAATCATCATCATATCTAAGAGCCGAATCTGTCCCATCAAAGTAAAATGTTAACTATTTACTTCTGAACACCTCATACACGCATTCTAAGAGCTAATCTGAAGGAATTTCCTAACATATTTAATATCCATAGAGTGCTCCCACTGCTTGACAGAATCTCATCACGACCTGGCGGATGTAGATGTCCATGTGTATACCCTGGGTGATCCAAATCGTTGATGCAGAAAGTATAAAACAAGCTCAATTGGGGCTCCTCGAAGGGCAAGCTGTTAATACCATCCGAAGGAAAAGCGATAATCAACAAGATGCCGCGCATTCCACGGGGCAAGGATGACTTCTTCCAGATTTTCGTAGGAGCGGCAGATACCAGCCGCTCCAGAAGCTAATATAAGGTCCAGCAGATTCATTTCAGTGACTGAATGAACATGTAGCATCACCCTCATTTCCACAGTAGCTACCTGTGCGCTTGTTAAGAATTATCCCCCATTTCAGACGTCAAGAGAGTGAAAATCTCATTCCCAATTGCTACCAGCCAAAAAAGGGCTCCATGCCCAATCTATTGTTGGAATACACGTATCACCTTTTCCTGGAGCATGCGCCGATGGCTTTTAGAGTAGTGCTTTGGGTCAAACCCGTAATATCCTCAGTCCCTTTAACCGACAACGCAGCCTGGTTGCAAAATTGTGCCGATTTGTTGGCGCCGACCGGTAATAACGACGCGAGGAACCCTGAGTGTGGATCAGGGACGGCTGGTGTCTAAGTAAACCCCAAGTACCTCCTGCGGGGTTCGATTCTTGTAACGCCCTTCTCGTGATTATCTCACAAGGAGGAGAATTGTAAGGAATATCCGACTACCACTGTCCTTGATGTAGTAAAAGGTTTTGTTTTATAGCATGGAAGGGAGTGGAGAAAAGAAATGTTGCAACTTGGGGGTCATGCTAGCCTTCATTTAGGCCTCGCTCATTCATTCCACGTTGGCTACATCTTCGCTGCGGCAGAGGAACTCTCATTTATCTTAAAAAATGGTATCGCTTTACGCACTCACGTAGTTACAACTATCGACGATTGTCAACCAACGTAATTCCCCACCGAGTGAACAGCCAATTTGAAATATTCCAATTATCTAACTCGTCCACTTCAACGCGCAACTTTATGCCACCGATTCACAATAAAAAGTCTTCAAATTCTCTAGAGGTATCCGCCGTTCGATGGTGGATTACGTTAGGAGGTGCTTATGATGTCATCCGCATGTCCAGGTCGAAAAGATAAGATAAGATTCATCATAGGCTGAGACGCTAAGCCTTATTAAGATAATTTCGCCGGCATAGGTTGCAAAACCAGGAAAAACCGTCCCGAAACCGCAAGAAGTAAACAATCCGGGATAACAACCAAGCAACAATATGTAGTGGAGATATTATCCGAAGTGAACTTCCCAAAGTTTTCCTGGAGAGGTATATAAGAGGGACGGGTGGGGGGAAAAGAACAAAAATGCAGTTCATAAGCTATTAACTATAAGGCCCTATCGACAGCTTTGCACGCGGCCGCAACGAGATTAATCCTGCAAGGACAGAGGACATCAACTTATCTAGCAACCAGACAGAATAGCATGATGGGCATAAGAGTCCCATCGAGCCAAGCCACCGACAACCAGTGTAGGAACAGGGATCTCTCCGCATCTCCTCATTACCCTTCTTCAATATGTTGCATCTATGCTTGTTTAGGCGGATATTGTTGAATATGTAGAATAGGAGAAAACACACCTCCAATCGCTAACCAGCAGAAGAATTCAAGGAACCCCTCAGGGAGTTTAACCTGGGATAGGAAAGGCTGCATAGGGTCTGATCAAGCCTCTATGCCACGCGTATATTTTACATTTAAATCATCTTCCTAGGCTTTCTGGTTCCGTTTGCTCCTCTGAACCAGTCAGTAGTCCCGTCGCAGATTTTTGCTCGTATGGGAAAACAAACACTTGACTCTCCTCGACTGTTTGTAGAGTATTTTAAGTATCCCTTATGCGGATCGGTGGGTTGAGAGTTTCTTCACCCTTATCAGGCGCCTAGCATCCACATTTCGTTGCATCGGTTCCATACTGGCCACGGTCGCATCCACAACTCAAGCACTACTGAAACTGCCGTTGATTGCAAACAACATTGCCTTCCTCCGCTATGTATTTTCAAGATAGGATCTTCGCAAACCTAGCTCCTCTCCTTCGCTACCAGAACCAAACACCAACCGCCCAAACGTGTCACGGATCGCTGATATATATGAAATTGCAAGTGAATCAAACAATCCTGAGAATCCCGTAACGTGCGGGTTCTACCGGCTTCGGAAGGGAGCTTGGCTCGTATACACGTATGCATATGATGTAGTGAAGATCATCCTGGAAGGGAAATTCAACATCTCCGACGAGATGCACGGCGGACGTGTTTTATTTCCCCAAGGGCTCCACAATCACGTTTTAAACCCCATCGTACGGTCTGGCGTTTTATGTGAACTCATGTCATATTATCTTCCCTCTGATTCTTGCGGAGGCTTCAGGGTGATTTATAGGTAGCCTGGACAGCGCGAAGAAGGGGGCGCTTAAATAGGCGGATGGAGATGTTTCACAGTGAGCCGCGGAACTGACGGTCGATAGTTAGAGTCGTGGATAAGGTGTCTGGATTCAGGGGCAGCAAGTTGGATCTAATATTACCCGGAAAGAAAAAAAAAAAAAAAAAAAAGAAATAAAAAGAAATAAAAAGGGTCAGGGGTTTCCTCAAAAATTTCTATCTTTTATTTATTCCCAGAACATGACAGTCACAATTGAACCCGGGTAGTTACCATAGAATTCCGCTGTTAGATCCGTGGCTTGATCCCGGGCGCGTTCCTTGGAAATTGAGATGAAATAATTTAGTTATTCCAACCCCACACCGATGAATCATGATACAGCTGAACGAGATATCTACTGAGGCTGAACAGACGTTATGGGGCACTCTGGCGTCTGGATCACACAAGACACAGTCCCGATGGGCCACCAATTGGTTACCAGTTACCAGCAGGAGATTTAAATGTTGCTGCATGAAATCCCGGTTTTGCCTTGCCATTGGTTGCTGCAGCAACGTCCGTCATCAATCCCAGATAACTAACTGCGGTTGACAAACCCTTGGAATGACCAACTAGTTCCTTCAACTAAATAGTTACCACCGTCGCGTATGCCGGACCTTTTAAACACAAACTCCGTTCTGTTTCTTATTAGTAGCTTCTCACTAGCTGCCATTCGACTATTTCCCACGACTCTCCTGCTATCCATTTCAAAACTCGCTTTTCTTTATCTTCTCTCTGCACCGCATTCTTGCGAGCGACTGCTGGTGTTTCGCGTTGATAGCTCTGCGCGGGGTAACGCACGATAACTAAAACATCCAACAACGCCACTATCAGCAAGACCGCGACACAGATACCACACAATACCATCCCTCCCCCCAGACAGTGAGTAACCAAACTCCCCTCTCCTTCAGCTGAGATGGCGGTTAATATCCCACCATCTCCTGCTGGCAAGCATGACTTGGGCATCACCCCTCTCCTCCACACCCGATCTGGCAACGAGCTCTGCGATCATCCGCAGACTCCAAATCAATTCGGTTTCACTAGCCCCTTCAGCACACCTCAGGGGAGCCCAAGCAAGAGTCGCATGCCTCCCGGTGCAACAGATCTTCCTGGCGTATTCGACCATGCGATGAAACTCACACCGTCGCCGTCCAAGTCAGCATTCAATGGGCCGTCTTTTTCTCCTGGCAAAAACGCACTACACGGCAGCGAGGATTCAAGCCTCCTGAATGAGAGTGTGATTCACAGCAGAGACAATGCGAACCAGGCCCGGAAGTCAAATAACGAAAATACACCCCCTGGCGCTCTGCGGTTTGGGAGAGACCCCGCTCTCAATACAAACCAGGCGGCCGTGTCGCGTCAGGAACCATATCAGAGCAGAGAAGCCAGTAAGAAGAGCCAATCTCACCTCCGCGGCCTGACACCCGAGGAACTAGAAAAATTACAACTTCCCAATGTGAAAAGGCTTGCGAATGTCACGCAACTTTGTAAGTTGAAATCCACTGCGTACTTTGCATACTCTGGTGACTGTTAATGTAAATACTAAGTTACTATCCCCCCCTTTTCTTCACAACAGACTTTCTCGACCATTACTTTGACATCCTCAGTTACGTGCATAATCGACAGACACGCCACGCACAGTTTAAAGCTGCATACCCTGCTCCCCCAGCCACTCCTGTTGAGGAATACGAAGCAGCTTTAGAAAAGTATCTTGGTCGCGAACGTGCGAATCTGCGCAAACGTCGGACCCGTCTACGTGATAACGATTTCCAAATCCTCACACAGGTTGGGCAGGGAGGATATGGCCAAGTTTACCTTGCCCAGAAGAAGGATACTCGTGAAGTGTGCGCGTTGAAGGTCATGAGCAAGAAGCTCTTGTTCAAATTAGACGAGATCAGACATATCTTGACGGAAAGAGATATCCTCACAGCGGCTAAGAGTGAATGGCTAGTGAAACTTCTCTACGCTTTCCAAGACGAAGATCAGATCTACCTTGCTATGGAGTATGTTCCTGGAGGCGACTTCCGCACACTGCTAAACAATACGGGCGTCCTCCATAATCGCCATGCCCGCTTTTATATTGCTGAGATGTTCTCATGTGTCGATGCACTTCATGTCCTGGGCTACATTCATCGTGACCTGAAGCCGGAGAACTTCCTAATCGATTCAACTGGACATGTTAAATTGACGGATTTCGGATTGGCTGCTGGCTTTCTCAATCCCGGCAAGATCGAATCGATGCGTATCAAGTTGGCTGAAGTTGGTAATACAAATGTCCCCTTTGGTAGACCGATGGAGCAGCGCAGCGCGGCAGAGAGGCGGGAGGGTTACCGCTCACTTCGACAACGCGAGGTTAATTACGCGAAATCAATTGTTGGATCTCCGGATTACATGGCACCCGAAGTTCTAAAGGGAGAGGAGTACGATTTCACCGTTGACTATTGGAGTTTGGGCTGCATGCTCTTTGAGGCTCTTGCTGGATATCCACCTTTTGCTGGAGCAACTGTCGATGAAACCTGGCAGAATCTCAAACGATGGCAAAGTGTTCTGCGCAAACCACAGTACGAGGACCCGAACTATTTTCTGTCAAGACGCACATGGGACCTCATCGTTCGTCTGGTAGCTGCCAAGGAACAACGGTTCAAAAATATCAAGGAGATCCAGGAGCACGAGTATTTCGCTGAGGTTGATTTCTCTCAATTGCGACAGCAAAGAGCCCCCTTTGTTCCCGAATTAGACTCAGAAACTGACGCGGGCTACTTTGATGACTTTGGGAGTGAGGCTGATATGGCCAAGTACAAGGAAGTTTATGATAAACAGAAGGCTCTTGAGGAAATGGCGGATAGAAAAGAACAAATGGGGAAGGGATTGTTTGTTGGCTTCACTTTCAGGTTCGTTTTATACCATTTTCTATCTTTTTGCTTGAGATCACTTCGTGTTAACAATTTTCGACCAGACATCGCAAGTCAACTGTCGATAATGACGGGCGAAGCAGTCCCAGAAAACCCATCCCCACTGATGGGAGCTTTGGAACCATCATCTAAACACTATCCGTCACACCACGCGTTTCTTCACAATACCCAAAAGAAGGCTAATTCTGTCATCGCCACTTTTTACCCTCGGTTTCTTTTCAATGCAGAGCTGGCTCTTTTACTTCCTTCTCCAACTCTTTTTCATCATAACCCCTATCTGATGAAATGCAAGACAACACAGTTGCACCAGCTTCGTTTGATTTGTTTTCTTTTCTCTCCTTTTCACGGCCCCGCAAACCCCTCAATCGATGGATGCGTTTTCGTTTTTTAAGCTAATGCAATAAGTCAACGATCCCCTCTCAGCTTTTCGATAAATTGTTCCTTTTTGTCTTGTTTCGATTTATCTCGTTACTCCCAGCTATTACCCAACCCATGCGGGAACAGATGGTGAGCGTGCAAATGCCTCGGGCCGAGAGCAAGGCGAGAGACGATTCAAGCCAGCCATTATTTCCCTCATTCCTTGCTTATCTATCGCCGGAGCCTCCACGTTGTCAAAATCGTCTATTTCTAGAAGTTTAACCCTTGTTTTCCATTTTATATTCCCAGTCTCTCTCTCTCTCTCTCTCTCTCTCTCTCTCTCTCTCTCTCTTTCTTTTTTTTGGGGTGTGTGTGTGTGTTATGTGTCCGCATCTCTTGTCTCTCTCGTCATTCCATGGTTCTCTCCTTGTCCTTTATCTTAACACCGCCCACGCGCGTACGGGTCCTCTTACCGCCAACATCACCGCAATTCCATTGTTCCTGTATTTTAATGCTTCGATGGTGTTAAATCTGTCCATGAACGCTTTGACCTTTCAATTTCTTTCCTTTTTCCTCTCTCGAATATCAAACCATTATCGGGTATAATTCCTCCCACTGGTGCCTTGCTATCTCTCCTTTCCTTTCCTTTCCTTCGGTTATCGTCACTTCCTTTCTTGCCATTCTGCATGTTCTGCGTTTTTCTGTTGTCTTGCATCGGTGTTTGCTTTTGAAAGTATTTTATACTCAAGTTCGTCCTTTTGGTCCGGTCTTAAGTTATCCTTTAACTAAGTGGGTTTGCGTCAAAAGTTATATCATGTCCTTTTCTTCCCTCTTCCCCCCTGCGTTTCCTAACTGTTGCTGCCTTCCCCTCTCTCCTTCTGCCAGCCTTCCTCCGTCCTAATACATCAGACCCTAAGCATGTTGAAAAGAGAAAGAGGACGATTACGTATACTTTTTCAAGGTATAATTAGTTTTCAGATGACTAGGAGGTTGCAGAACTTGATAGTGATTATCAGAATGGAACAAAGAAATAAAATTAGCTGAGGATTTCTCTTAAGTATTGCAAATGCATGTTGTTCCACACTTTTGCTTAATCACACTATTTTATCAAGGTTAGGCATCATCATTGCAAGTGAAAGGGATATATGAATTTAAATGTGATTGAAGGGGTGATTTTTTTGATGTTTCAGTGTGTATGAAATTCCTGAAGATGATATAGTGGTAAACAAAGGGGTAGAAATTGATATTTTAGTGTTAAGTAGAAAGCTGTGTATAGTGAAACTACATGTTTTGATGATCCAAGATATCAGATATTTCATACATCTCAGAAACTCACAGAAAATAACCTCCTCACTTTCTCTCTCTCTTTTATGAATTCTTTTGTCTCATGTTTTCAGCTTTTCCCCTAGTTCATTCTTCATATTGTTGTAGAGTGTTCAGACAGAAAGTCACATAGACAGCATGTGTTATAAGCATTTGTTTTGATGAGTATATTTTTACAATATCACCAACCCCCCTTCTCCTGGCTCCATATAGTACAGAGAATCGTAGCCAGCTACGTATATATGGTACATATGTATGGACTCACAGCCTTCTGATATCCCTTCTTCCCGCTTGGCTGCCATACCAATCTGTTCATATTCCTCCCATCAGGACCCACACAAATCACCCATCTTTGCAGTGGTGGCGGTAGGTTTCGCCACTACTGCGGTGAGACATCCGGAGGGATTTCCCGGACGAGTTTTAGAATCTCCGATTTATTTTCCCCAATGACGGCAGTGCCATTACTCCAATCGACGATCTTAGGAAAGGAGGATAGTTCAGAGATTTTAGCCTAGCCAAACAGCGAAATATCACCTCCTTCTCTGAAAACAAAATTGAAAAATATTGGGGAAACCAGAAAGGGGGAAGAGAGAAAGAAGAAGAAGAAGAAGAAGAAGAAGAAAAAAAATCAACTCACAACCGGCCTAACAAACCTCCCTCCATCCTCTTTCAGTCGCCTCAATGCATCCAACCTATCCTGCGCCCCCTGTACAAGATCCCCCGGTTTCGCCATCGCCGCCCCGCCTCTGGCCCTTCCCACATCCCCTCCCACATCCGCACCCACGTAATCTAGGATATTTTTAAGCTGATCCGGAGTAGGGGGCTCCTCAGTGACATCCAGCTCGAACTCAGAGCGTTGGCTGGGAGAGGTTTCGGATGCTTGGTCGATGGTTGCGTTTGCGGCGGCAGCGGCATTGGCTTGTTTGAGAAGGGCGAGGACGCGGCTGGAGGCAGGGAGGGAGGGTTTGTGGAAGAGGGTTATTACGTCAAGGGTTTTATGCTGACAGCGGAACTAGTTAGTGCAAGGCCAAGACGACGTGGGGAGGTGATTGGAAAACGTACGAAGCGGAACATTGTCAGAATGGTTTTTATTATAGTCTTGGGATTGGTATTTGTGGATTTGGTGCAGTTTCCTTGGTGGGTTGAGTGGTGGCCATTTGATGGAAGACAGCAACTGTAGTTACGTCACGCCAGGACTGCGCTGATTGGCTAGTTAATGGAAGGAGAGATTCCCCTGGACCCCGAATATCGACCCGCATCGATGATTATCACAGAAAGAGGAATTAATTAACCATACGACAACGTATAGAAATCTGAGAAAGATTCGCTGTGCTGAAGCCCTAAAAAAGTGGACTAGACTACTAAATAACTAGATAAATGGCCTGTAATATTTCAGATGTGTTGACTCCAAAAGATAGCCCATGTGAAAACACAACTAAAGCGATTAAGAATAAGCCCGGCTCTATCAGCCGGGTCATTTGATGGCGCTCCGGGTGCATATACACACAGTCAACGTGCATTAAAAAGTGATACCGTGGCCAATTCACGATCTATGGTCTTTATATTTATTTTCTTCTTGATTTCGTATATCGATTGGCAGACAAGACTATGACAAACAAGATAACCAAAGCCAGGAACGATGTATGGAGGCCCCGTGGGCTCCTATCCGAGACTGCACCTAGTCACGATTTAGGCGCACCTTGCTTGTCACCCTCAGCTGGAATTACCTTCTCCAGGTATCTCTGCAAATCCTGAATCTCGAGGGGATCCGCTGAGTGGGTCATGCCTCTTGGATAGAAGTTAGAAGCCGTCATTGGCACAGCAATAAAGAAGCGATGATAGAGAAGGGTAGTCAAAACGGAAATACGGAGGAAAGGTAACAAAATAGAACATAGAAAAATGGGTAACCATACGGATATTTATAAAAATCCACCGTCATCCCTAACTTCCTCAGCTCCTCCGCAGACCCTACAGCCCAGTCAAGGAGCACCGTAGGGTCTTCATCGCCATGTGCCATAAAAACCGGAGTCATTTTGTTCGGGAAGCCCTCTGGGATGTACGAAGGGACCTTATCTCTCAACGGCAGATAGCAGGAAAGGCCAAAGATGCCGCCCAGCTTCTCCTTCTGCGTGAGCCCGGTGAAAAGTGACATCGCACCACCCTGGGAGAAGCCGCCCATCACGATGCGTGACGGCTTGATGCCCTTGTCGATTTCTTGCTTGATAAGCGTATTGAAATAATCGCGTGATCTGAGGATTCCCGGCTCGTCTTGGTTCTTGCCAAAATCTTCTACGAAGACCTGCGGGGTTGTAATTTCAGGCGGCAGCCCTTTTATTTAGTAATGGAAATTTGGATTTGGGGGGGGGGGGGGGGGGGGGGCATATAAGAGACAAACATCTCGACCAAGTTTCTGGATATCGTACCAGCCTGGCATCGACATGCCAAAATTCTATCCAACAGCAGCAGCATCATCATATTAGTAAAGGCTTCTCCATGGTACCTGACCAACTGCCGCTCTCCCCGTATTATCACCGATCCCCATGGAATTCCTTACAATCGTGATCGGAATCGCTGGCGCATTTGGGAAGATAAACGAGACTTCATCGAACAAGCCCCGCCGGCGCCAATTTTGTGCAAGCATGAGCCTTTACGTTTCCCAAATGAATGCGGTCATAGCATTCGAAATTTGTGAGCTTTACATTTCATGTCCTTGCGTTGCACGGATTAAGAAGAAAGGAACCCTGTACGGGAAGTTGGGAGGGGAATAGCGGGGACGGAGAGCGGGACGACCGCGGGGGAATTATCGCATACCAGCCAGCACCGCTGTACATCGACGAAATAAGAGAAAATAAGAAGTTAGCCAATAAAATTCTAATGCACCAAATACTTTTTATACACGATAAAGAAAGATACATTAGCCCAAGACGAACCTATCACCCAATCCATGCGCCATAATAACTGTGGCAGTGTGCCTTGTTAGGGCGGGCACGATGATCGGCCCTGATGCAGCCATTGTTTTCGGAGTTAAAATCCTTATAGCAACAGGGTGACGAAAGAATCAATTCGATACAACCGAAGTTGAATAAATATAGCTTGGATTCGTTCCGTTGATATAAATTGTAATCTGTCGGTTGGTTATTTTGCCAACCACCACCGCTTTCGCGCGGAGTCGAATAATAAACTTCGCAGGGACCTCGGAATGAAATTGACTCTTGAAACTTGACAACGTTTGAAGAATAATTCGAACAATTCGACATCAACGCTAATATCGAACGAAATTCAATACGCTTTCCACTCCCTAAATACAATGCAGTCGATTCCATACGTCATTACACGTGGCATTTTCTTTAAACCTAGGATCTCCAAAGACGCAATAACATAGGCCGCCTAAATGTAACACGTATAGAAGAGAACAGGAACAAATGGAAAAATTAGCACGAGAAAATTTAATTAACTAGAGAAGCGCAGCTGCTCCCAAAATCGCCGCACCAAAAACTCCCCACGTAGCAGCTTGCAAAGATGCAGCAGCACCCTTGGGCTTCTTCTGACCAGAATGGTTGCCATCTCCGGATCCGCTCCTTTGCGGCTGTCCATTTGCTGTGGACTCATTCGCGTTGCGGCTGCGAGCGGAGCCAGAAAAGGCCGTGGCGCTGACGCCAGTTCCGTTCTTGCAGGAATTAGAAGGAGCGGAAGCAGTGACTTTTGAGGTGAATACGATGTCTGCGCACTATTGACAGGGGGAAGAAAACAAAGCTCATTAGCACGGTCCAGAATGCTTCGTGATCGGAAAGCGATGGTCAACTGTATGTTGAAAAAACAAATAACGCGGTCGGAAATAACTCACGTTATACAAACCCCCAGATGGATCCCCATTCGTCACAACCTGCAACGTCGCCTCCAGGCCCTCCGAAAATTTCCTGCCGAGTGTCTTCTCGCTAATTTTCACAGTGGGGAGACAGAAATCGCCCAGGCCTATCTGTCCGAACGTCGGAACTAATGTGATGTTAAAGTTCGTGCCTGGATCCGACCCAAGGGCCAGCAGGACCTGGACGGCGCTGTGGTCGTGGCCCATTTTCAAGGCGATGGAGATCTCTGGGCCTGAGAGGGCGATTTGGGTGCGGTTTTTGGAGGGGGGCAGCCCGGAGCATGGGTATTGGGTGCTTTTATCATGGCTGCTGCCACGGGAAGGGGGTTGCAGGAGATCGAAATGCGCGGAAGTGAGGGTGAGAAGGCCGGTTAGGGGTAGAAGGGTGGTTTGGAAGCGCATGTTTGCTGTTGGCGGTGGTTATGTCGAGCTTTCGTGATAATGAGTTCGGAAGTGGTGGTCCCGTTTGAGTATGTTCAAATTGAGGCCGTGGGTTTTCTCTATGTGGATATGAGAAGCTGTTAGATATGAGTCTCAGTTAAGAGCGGACTCCAACGCGGGAATCAAACGATCCTGAACATACAGCGTCGACAGGGGGGGAGGATAGGTCTCTGAGCACAGTTTCTTTCTACGGTCCAAGCGCAGCGAATCGCAGGACAACAATATTCAACCCAAAAGCGGGAAAAATATAAAGGATAGGAAGTATGCAGGTATTCGCCACTACAATTTCAAGATCAAGGTAATGTTGCAAAGTACACAGCACATGCGTGGGGGATTCCTTGATATTATAGTGAAAGCAACATCAACTCTACCCTGGCAGCTCTCAACAGGGCGGCGAGTGGGGACCGACACGAGCTGTTATCTCTTCCCGGCTTAATGAAGCAAGCCGACATGGGTGGTACTGACAGTGACGGAGCTGATCTCCTGAAGTCACAGTCGATGCTATACCTTAGCTTGCGCAGAACCTATCCAACCCCCCTGGTTTGCCTATGTGCTAATTAATACGCGCATCACTAGTATTATCGCATCCACAAACATCCGGAGATTGATGTGATACTTCTACAAATTATAAATGCCCCTAAGTGCAATGAGAACTAAGAAATAGCAGGCATCCGTACTCCGTACGCATGACGATGAGAATAAAAAGTCGAAATTCTCCCGAAATTTGGCCAGAAACTTTCCCCCCTTAAGCATCAAGGTCAAGATGAAAAACATTCAAAAGCAAAACTTAATCAAGCAAAAACATAAACCCCACAGATAAAGAAAACGAGAAGTGAAAAAAAAAAAAAAAAAAAAAAAAAAAGGAAGAATAGAAAAGAATGAAAGAGAGAAATCGAAATCTAAAAGCGCTAAAACAATCTGCTCAATTCTGCGCAAAAAGAAAAGAAAAATATTATGGCACTTGTGAACTCTCCAATCGAACCCGCTCCGCAGATCTGGGCATGTCCTTGTATTGTGGGGGAAGGGGGGTAGCAAGGAGATGTATCCCCAGGCCCCATTTCGGAGTTATTTAGTTCTATAAAAGGGACAACCCGTTTACATTACTCCCCTACAACATGACTCCGCGGCCCAAAATATAATATTCTTAGTAGCTTCATGGATCCCTTCCATGATTGTGCAAATCGTCAAAACCACGCAGTAACTCCGCGTATCGTCGATCGCCGAAACCCTAGACCAAGATAACTTTCTCACACCAACAGATAATCCCTGGATGCATTGGCCATTAACGCAAAAATACCTCTAAGCTGGCTGGTCGGGCAACGGTGAGGACGTTGATAACTTATAGTCATATATATATATATATATATATATATATATATATATATATGGTGGCGAAGGAACAGTACAACAACGATGCGCTACTTTCATAAATGAAAGGGGAAATAAGATAACTATCTCTACAGAACATGTAACTTAATCTATGATGTAGTCTGCTAAACCAATAATTAAAAGCTATCATTGGTAGAATATGATGGTGTGAGCATAAAATCACAAGAGCTTTCACGCAGTACAAATTAAAAATGAATCAGCAATCTAACTAGTTACTTGTTAATCTAATGCTCATTGAAATGGTTATATCGACCCAGCACGACATCTCCAACGAACACGCCAGCAAGAACAGACATGAAGTAGCCAACATTCATCGTCATGACAGCCAGCATGCTGTAAATATCGTAGTTAGTCCCCAACATCTACCATCGCAGAAACATACACACAAAACAAAGAGAGGTTTCGATATAGGGAAAAAAAAAAAAAAAAAGAAGAAGAAGAAGAAGAAGAAAGGGGAAACTCACAGCAAATACCCCACTCCAGCAGTAACCATAACCAACAACGCCCTGGGTAAATCAACACTAAACCTCCACGGCGCAGTCTGCCCCTTCAAACTCGCCACAACCCTAACCTTCTCCTCGACCCCATTCGCCGAAACCAACGTCCCCGTCGACGCATTGGGGTCCATCTGTATCCGTTCCGCCGCCGGAAGCTGGCCAGCGACCACGACGTAGCGGCGGGACATCGCGGCGGCGGCCCACCGGTGTTCCAGCATGGATTTGGTCGCGAGTAAGGCGCGGAACATAACGGCGAGGACGATGAGGAAGATACAGGTGCCTGCGTACGTGCCTGCGGATCTGGGGGTCCAGTCGTTAGAGTAGAGGGGGGTTGCCTGGGTGGTTTGGAAGACCATTGCCATGGCGAGTTCCATGATTGAGTGTGAGGACGAGGAGGAGGGGCTTGGATTTGTGGTTG